GATGATGTTACCTAGTTTGGTAATGAAAGGTCTGCAAGAAAAGCACCCAGCTCAGAGAGGACCTTTCTTGCCACCGGTGTTGAGGGAATTCCTGCAGTTGTTAAGTGAGTTACGCAGTTGTTAAGTGGACTTGGGTCTGTCTGGTTTAACGAAGAGAAGGACGAGGGGGGACACGATAGCAGTCTTCCAATCTCTCAGGGGCTGCCCCAAAGAAGAGGGAGTCAAGCTATTCTCCAAAGCACCTGAAGGCAGGACAAGAAGCAACGGGTGGAAACTGATCAAGGAGAGAAGCAACCTAGAACTAAGGAGAAACTTCCTGACAGTGAGAACAATTAACCAGTGGAACAACCTGCCTCCAGAAGCGGTGAATGCTCCAACACTGGAAGTTTTTAAGAAGAGACTGGACAGCCATTTGTCTGAAATGGGATAGGGTTTCCTGCCTGAGCAGGGGGTTGGACTAGATGACCTCCAAGGTCCCTTCCAACTTTATATTATTATTATTATTATTATTATTATTATTATTATTATTAGTCATGAAACGTAATCGCATGACCTTGCGACACGGCAACCATCATTGCCAAGCATCTGGATTCTGATCATGTGACCCCAGAGAGGCTGCAACGTTGTTAAGTGTGAAAAATGGTCCTTTTTTTCTGTGCCGCTGTAACTTCAAACAGTCGCTAAATGAACCGTCAAGGCCCGCCTGTACACAGGGCAGATCCTGCCAGCTGTTATTCAGCACCTCTGTTGCGCAGCCATCACCGCTATCCCAAATGGATCATTTTCAGACACACACACACACACCCCCCACAAAAATCTCCCAGCAGGCCCCGTTCCCCTACCGAGATCCAGTTCCTCGGCGTCGGCGTATTCCCAGTAGGCGGTGCGCAGATCCGAGCTTTCGCACAGGTAGCACTTCAGGTTGCTGATCATCTGCCGCGTCTCCTGGAGCATGTCGGTGCTGGTGGGGTGGCGGGCCCCGGCTCCCTGCTGCATGTGCTCCACGAAGTTCTGCACCAGGCCTCCCACGTCCGAGGTGGGCTCCTGGACCAGCTCTTGCACCCGCTTGGCCACCCGGCGCTCGAGCGAGAGGAAGCCGGTGAGGGCGCTGCTCATGGCCGAGAGACGGTAGAGCACCTTGTGGGTGAAGGTGGCCGAGGAGGGGCGCCGTCTCTTCTGCGGAGACGGGGTGGCGGGAGGGAGCCCCTCGCCCTCGTCCTCCACGCTGCTGATGGACAGCGAATCCAGTTCCGGGATGAGAGGCAGCAACATGGAGTCGTTCAGCAACAAGGAATCGGACCGGGCTTTTTTCAAGCTGGGGAAAGCGTCGGCCGAGATGCCTTCCACCCAGGAGACGCGGTGGCGAGAGCGGCCCTGGTTTTGGGGCAGAGTAGGGGACCAGGGAGGTGCCTCGGTTTCTGAACTGTTCCAGGAGGGTCTGCGAGGAAGGAAATCCCCTTGCCCGGAGGCTGAGCAGGACGGAGGGTCTGCGGGGAAGAGAGGGGCGAGGAAGGAGTCTATGGGCATGTTAGCCAGTCTGTGTTATTCTATCTACCACCCAGGAGGCCAACTGGTCATATTACACAGTGGTAGCTACTGAGAGAAGAGAAGCTTTGTAGCTCAGGGTTGGGCTGGGGGGCTCCTGGGGGCTCTCTGAGCTTGGGGGTTTCCTTGCAGATGTTTCATGACCCAACTAGGGAACATCATCAGTCCTAGAGTAGAGAGTGGGGTTTGTAGAGTACAGGAGGACGACGACAATTGTGGGGTCCTTGGTGCTCTCTGAGCTGGGTGGTTTTCTTGCAGACATTTCATAACCCAACTAGGTAGCGTCATCAATGCTAGAAGGGTTTGTGGAGAGGAGGAGGAGGAGGAGGAGGAGGAGGAGGAGGAGACAATGGCATCCTTAGTGCTCCCTGAGCTGGGTGGTTTTCTTGCAGACGTTTCATAACCCAACTAGGTAGCGTCATCAATGCTAGAAGGGAGGAGGAGGAGGAGGAGGAGGAGGAGGAGGAGGAGAAGGAGGAGGAGGAGGAGGAGGAAGAAGAAGAAGAAGAAGAAGAGGAGGAGGAGACGGCATCCTTAGTGCTCCCTGAGCTGGGTGGTTTTCTTGCAGACATTTAATAACCCAACTAGGTAGCGTCATCAATGCTAGAAGGGAGTAGTAGTAGTAGTAGTAATAGTAGTAGGAGACGGCATCCTTAGTGCTCCCTGAGCTGGGTGGTTTTCCTGCAAACGTTTCATAACCCAACTAGGTAGCGTCATCAATGCTAGAAGGGAGTAGGGTTTGTGGAGTGGAGGAGGAGGAGGAGGAGGAGGAGACAATGGCTTCCTTAGTGCTCCCTGAGCTTGGTGGTTATCTTGCAAACATTTCATTACCAAACTAGGTAATGTCATCAGTGCTACAGCTGGCACTGATGAGGTTCCCTAGTTTGGTAATGAAACGTCTGCAAGACAACCACCAAGCTCAGAGAGCACCAGAGACCTCACAGTTCGATCCCGAGCTACAAAGATTCTCTTCTCTTGGTAAACAGTGTTCTCAAAGAGCATTATTATTATTATTATTATTATTATTATTATTATTATTATTATTATTATTATTATTATTATTATTATTATTATTATTATTATTATTATTATTATTATTATTATTATTATTATTATTATTATCATCATCATCATCTTTATACCAACGACCCGGACAGCTGCCCCAATCTTACCTTTCCCCCCCTTCTCCTCCTCTTCCCGAGACTTGAGACGCTCCAGACCAACTGGGGCTTCTGGCCTTGCGGAGCCATTGGCGAGGCGCAGGGATCCCCCCCTGCCCCTCGAGTGGTACAGGCCGGGGGCCAGGTCGAGCCACTCGATGTCGCTGTGCACGGAAAGGAAGAGCGGGTTCACGATGCAGAGGGCGGCGTCCTCGGAGGTCACGCGGATGGAGCAAGAGGGCTGCTCGGACTTCAGCAGGTCCGCCTTGGGTTCCGGGCCGCTGGCTTCGGCTTCGTCTGGGGCCAGGCCGTTGGCGGGATGAAGAGGCATCGCCCAGAATGCTGTTGGATGAAAAACAAACCAAAAGAAACAACAGGAAATGGAGAACAGGGGCTCTTAGGGCAGTGTTTTTCAACCTTGGAAACTTTAAGATGGGTGGACTTCAACTCCCAGAATTCCCCACTGTCTTAGGGGGCTTCTGGGGGAGGGTGGGGTTCTCCTTAAGCAACCTAAACCGGCAAACTCTCCCCAAATACCAGAGGGGAATGGGGGGGGTGTATTCTCACTCACTTGCACCCAAGGTGGCAACTGCATCTAAATCGGCTCTGCCGGGAAGCTGAAGGACGTGGGGGACCCTGAGCAAACAGGGCAGGATATCCCTGGAAGAGAAGCAGAGTTACAAAAATGACACCCGCTCTTGGCTCAAGGCAGGTCTTCTGTGCTGCCTTTTCCTGTCTAATGTAAGGACCCACCCCACGTTACATCTTAAGAAGACAGAACTCTTGGAATCTCTCTTCCAACAGGCATCTTTATTAAGAGAAGATGGTTGCAGGCGTTCTAGACAGGATCTGAGGGTCCAGCCCCTACCATTCAATGTTTTAAGTGTTCCCAAGCAGCCCCCCCACCCCACCCCACCGTCCTTCCAGCGACAATCCCAGGCGTTCCATTTCCACCCCCTTTTTCCTCACTGCCGGCAGAAGGGAGACTTCAGAGAGAGAGAGAGTAGATGAAAGGCGATGGCCATGTTGTTATGGTCAGTCCTCTTGATAAGAATCACATCCAGTCCTTTGTAGTTTAAATGAAGGAAGTGAGAGTCATAAACCCCCTTGCTCCCTCCTCCCCTTTCGTAATATGACAGAATCCACAAAGAGTAAGAAATGGATCTTTTTCCAGAGTAGGTAGCTAGAATTGAAATATAATTGGATTCTGACAATCCGTTAAATTTCTACGCTGCCCATCTCCAATACAAGGGGACTCTGGGTGGCTTATAAATGATAGAAGCAAGTAAAAAATAGTTGAGGGATTAAAAGGTTAAAACGAGCCCTTAAAGATTAAAACTTTGCATCAGGGCGGTTGTTTTAAAGTGGGGGGCTCCTAGCCTATTTGAGAGGTGTGGTCTTGAGATTTCTTTCCTACCCCTACATGTTTCCTCAAAGCCTGCCCAAACCTCCTCTTTTGACTCAAGAGCTGGGAAGGTCTTCTAGGGAAACGAAACATTTGGGAAAGGGCAGCTGCTAGGAGCCTGCCCTTGGATCTCAGAAATATCTGGCGCTTACCAAATTAATTAAGGTCACATTCAGCACCCGTAGGTTCCCCCAGCCCACTTCAACACCACCACCTCCCTCTCCCTGGTGCTCACCTGCTCACAAAATGAAAGCCAATCAGTTCCAAAAGGTTTCTGAAGTACAGCTGAGAACCTTTGAGGTGAATGGCTGCTGGTGAAAGAAAGAAAGAAAGAAAGAAAGAAAGAAAGAAGGAAGGAAGGAAGGAAGGAAGGAAGGAAGGAAGGAAGGAAGGAAGGAAGGAAGGAAGGAAGGAAGGAAGGAAGGAAGGAAGGAAAGAAAGAAAGAAGGAAGGAAGGAAGGAAGGAAGGAAGGAAGGAAAGAAAGAAAGAATCATTTGTTTAGTGACCGTTTGAAGTTACAAGGGCGTTGAAAAAAGTGACTTCATGATCATTTCCCCCACTTACGACCGTTGCAGCATCCCCGTGGTCACGTAATCAAAATCCAGCCGCTTGGCAACTGACTCATATTTAGGACGGTCACAGTGTCCCCGGGGTCACGTGATCCCCTTTTGTGACCTTCTGACACGCAAAGTCAAAGGGGGAAGAAGCCAGATTCACTTCACAACCGTATTACTTAACAACTGCAGTGATTCACTTAAGAATTGTGGCAAGGAAGGTCACACAACGGGTGGAAATCCACTTAGCAGCTGTCTTGCTCAGCAACAGAAACTTTGGACTATCTGTAGGCGATCGCCATGGGGGGGTGGGGGACACAAAGGAAGGGTTCATCTTTGGCTGGCGGTTACTAATGAGGGCACATGCTTTATGGTCAGAATAACCTCTTCCCATTTTTTTTTTCTTCACAATTTCCAACTGGAGGTAAAGAGGAAAAAAGAGAAAAGAGCCTGGAAAATGACTTGCAGGATGCCTCAACAGCCTGACTCAACGGCTCCCTTGGTTGATTGGGACATATCCGTAGGTCACAACTGAGCTTCTGGAGGGCATAAGGAAGTCTGAAATTCAACTCCTGAGGCTTCTGGTCTGGAAAAAAAAAAGATCTCAGCGCCCGGATCATCTCAGGAAGAGGTAATCAACCAGCAGGGGAAAAAGAAAATATTGAACCAAGTGGGAGGGATGGATGGATTGGGTCAGGGGGAGATCCCAGCTTAGAACTAAGGAGAAATTTCCTGACAGGGAGAACGATCAGTCGATGCAACAGCTTGCCTTCAGAAGTTGTGGGTGCTGCATCACTGGAGGCTTTCAAGAAAAGACTGCACAAGCAGGATGAAATAAGAGACTCCTGCCTTGAGCGGGGGGGGGGGGGGTTGGACTAGAAGACCTCCAGAGGTCCCTTCCAGCCTTAGGATTCTGATTCTATGTTTTTGTGTATATTCTCCATATACTTCCTTCCTTCAGGGCAGGGATAAGATCCTGAAAACTCTGTTTTTCATATGCCAAGAGCCTCTTCTTTTGAAAGTATCAAGGTTTCCTTCTATATTGAGGCAAGACACACAAAAGCTATAGTGTAAGCTTTCCAATAAATATTAACATAGTTTAAAATCTACAACGTCTCGAGGATCTTTTGATAGTGGATGGCACAAACAGCTGAATACTGTATGTAAAATAAAATAGCTTTGAGAACATAAATCGACACGATCAGATCTTTAGCCTATTATCTAACCCAGTAGCCTGCTCTTACAGTGGTCAGCCAACCAGCAGATGGCCTTCAGGGACAGTCCCAAGGCCATCAAGACCAAGACCTGTTATTCCCTGGGAATTCTACAAATTACTCCCTTTTTAAAAGCCAGATAAACTGGTCCCCAGCGCCTCATCTCAGAATCACACATTCCAAAGCTTAATTGTGCATTGTGTAAAAAACATTCCCCCCCCCCTTTTCTCTGTCCTGATTCTTCCAGGATTCAATTTCCCAGCATGATTTATAGTTCTAGTACTGCTAGTCCTCAACCTACGATCCCAAGAGAGCCCAAAATTGATGTTGCTCAGCGAGACATTTGTTAAAGTCTCTAAAGTAGACCCCTCCTCCCCCTGCCGTGGACCCCCTGCTTTTCTTCCTCTTGATGAGAAAGGGGCTTCTCTCCCTTGTTCATTTCCTTAAGTTTACGTGGGAAGCAGCTGTCCCACTTCAGAGAGAGAGAGAAAAGAGAAAGAATCCAGCTCTATATATCCAGTACATTGCTTTCCCTAGAAGCAAGCTAGGATAACAAACGCCGGTTTAGCCCAAGGAAGTAATTCCTCACCTGTGGTTCAGCCCAGAGACGGGGAACGCCAAATTCAGGGGGACGCAGATGATAAAACAACCCGAGTCGGGGACCGGAGGGAAAAAGTTAGCCCAAACGGCCAGTCTCTCGGTCAAGAATCTAAGGTGGTTGCCAGTTCACAAGGCAAGTGTGCGCCCTGTGAGAACTGGCCCTTGCCAGCTTCTCCAAACTACTTCCCTTTTTTTTTTAAGTAGAAGGAAATGATGTTTTGAAATTCCCCAGACGAGACAAGATGAGTGTTGAGGTCCGGCAACTGGGGCAAGGAAGTAGTTCAAGCATGGACATTTCCTATTTCCCACCCTTCTGATTCTCGTCGTGAGATCGAGCAGGGAAGTGAAATTCGGGGGGGGGGGGGTGTGTGTGCCAGAGAAGGGAAAGGAAGGTCTCCTGGCTTCTCCTCTGCGTGTCTTAGCTCTAGAACCCCGAAAGCTGAAGACAGATTCAGAGCGTTCATTCGTGCAGCCTCCTCGTGGGAAAGAAACCCCCAAGTCTTTCCGTCATGAAGGGTTAGGACTGTGGGGTCCCTGGTGCTTTCTGAGCTTGGTAAGTTTTCTTGCAGATGTTTCCTCACCAAACCAGGTAACATCATCAGTGTGGGGGCATTGCCTAGTTTGGTAAGGAAAGGTCTGCAAGAAAAGCGCCAAGCTCAGAAAGCACCAAAGAACCCACAGTTCTCCTCCTCCTCCTCTTTCTCCCCCACTTATTTATTTATTTTATTTTATTTATTATTTAAATTTATATACCGCCCTATCTCCCTTACGGGACTCAGGGCGGTGAACAGGCAATAATAAAAATCACAATAAATATTGAATAAAAAGCCTGCTCTAAAATACCCCATATAAAACCCCTAGCAAAGCCCAATCAAAACTACGCCAGGCCGGCCGCGTGGAATAGATGGGCTTCACAACCCCCCTCCCTTCTAGCACTGAAGATGTTCCCCAGTTGGGTAATGAAAGGTCTGCAAAAACCTACCAAGCTCAGAAAGCACCAAGGACCCCACAATCTCCTCCTCCTCCTCCCCATAAATATACTCTCTTCTAGCACTGATGAGGATACCTAGTTGGGTCATGAAACGTCTGCAACAAAACCACCAAGCTCAGAGAACACCCAGGACTCCACAGTCCTTCCTCCTCCTCCTCCCCCCCTCCTCCTCACAACCCCCCTCCTTTCTAGCACTGAAGATGTTCCCAGGTTGGATAATGAAGTATCTGCAAAAACTACCAAGCTCAGAAAGCACCAAGGACCCCACAGTTGTCTCCTCCTCACAACCCCCCTCCTTTCTAGCACTGAAGATGTTCCTTAGTTGGGTCATGAAACGTCTGCAAGGAAACCACCGAACTCAGAGAACACCAAGGATCCCACAATCTCCTTCTCCTTCTCTTCCTCCTCCCCATAAACCCACTCTCGTATAGCACTGATAATTCTAGCTAGTTAGGTAGTGAAACATCTGCAAGAAAAGAATCAAGCTCAGAGAGCGCACGAAAGACCCACAGTCCTCCTCCTCCTCCTCCCCTTCACAACTCCCCCACTTTCTAGCATTGAAGATGTTACCTAGTTGGGTCACGAAACGTCTACAAGGAAACCACGGAGCTCAGAAAGCACCAAGGACCCCTCAGCTCAACCCTGAGCTGCGAAGATTCTCTTGTATTATTATTATTATTATTATTACTTTAATTTATACCCCGCCCTTCTCCCGAGGGACTCAGGGCGGCTTACGTTAAGACGGTCTGAATATATTTTTCGCACTGGTTTGAAAATGCAGCTTAATGCTGTATCATTCCACAAGAGTGCCACGTGTCCCTGTTCACCTCCCAGGGATAGAAGGCTCAAGTACCAAACTGACTCACCTGGAGTGTCTTCAAGAGGGAAAAGGCCAACAACCTTATTGTCACTTTCAGGTAACCGGAGGTAAAGTGTCTTGACGGCGTCATTCCCGTTGGTAGCAACGATGAAGGACTGGAAGAGGTGAAAAGGGAGACAGCAGGGTTGCTGGAAAATCACATCACAAAGCGAAACTATCACCGTTCTCCTAAACACCCATTTCTCTCACCCTTCCAGTAGGATTTATATTCGTTAAACGTTTAGGCAACCCATCTCCCTGTGACGGCCACTCTGGAAGGCTTAAAATATAATAAAAAGGTACAAACGACGATACCAAGTGATTAAAATTAAGAGGATTAAACAGAAAGCTAAAAACCAAAAGAATGGGGGATGTGGGAGTGCTATCTTCTCTCTACTCCCTCTATTCAAGATGGACAGTGATGAATCTTTATATGTTACTTATATGTAAGGGTGCAGGTCTATACACATGTTGCACATGGTATGTTTAAATGTGTGTTATGTATGTGTACACTTTGAGAGCAAGCAACTAAATTTCATTTTTAATGTGTGCCTTTGTGCCCACAGTAAAAAATGACAATAAAATCTGTCTGTCTGTCTGTCTGTCTGTCTGTCTGTCTGTCTGTCTGTCTGTCTGTCTGTCTATCTATCTATCTATCTATCTGACAATAAAGGTTATCTGTATCTGTCTGTCTGTCTGTCTGTCTGTCTGTCTGTCTGTCTGTCTCTCTATCTGACAATAAAGGTTATCTGTATCTGTCTGTCTGTCTGTCTGTCTGTCTGTCTGTCTCTCTATCTGACAATAAAGGTTATCTGTCTGTCTGTCTGTCTGTCTGTCTGTCTGTCTGTCTGTCTGTCTATCTATCTATCTATAAAGGCTGTCTGTCTGCCTGCCTGCCTGCCTGCCTACCTACCTACCTACCTATCTATCTGACAATAAAGGTTATCTATCTGTCTGTCTGTCTGTCTGTCTCCTCTGCAAATCCTTCCATTCCTCACCATCCAGTCAGAGCTGAAGAAGCTTCTTGGCTAAGAAGCAAAACATCTTCAAAGAAAAACCAGAAAGTCCAGTTGCCTCTTGAAAAAGCACCTTTGGGACAAAGCAACCTATCATCCCCCCTCAATCATCAACTGCCATTGGTAGCTAGGGGAGGATGGGAAGTGTAATCCAGCAGATACAGGGCGGATTGTAATTGAAGGATTACACCTACAGGAGATGTTAGCGAGATTTAATTTAATTTAATTTAATTTCCTACCCTTTCAAACCTGTGTACTGGAAGCCACAAAACAGGTCTGGCAAGTAAACTCAGGAACAGGCAGGCCTTGACTTACCACCATTGATTTAATGGCCATTCAAAGTTACAGGAGCACTTGAAAAAAGGGACTTATGACTGGTTTTTGCGCTTAACGACCATTGCAGCATCCCCAGCCGCGTGATCAAAATTCGGTCACTTAAGACGGCTGCAGTGTCCTGCCGTCACGTAGTCCCCTTTTCTGCGACCTTCCGGCCAGCAAACGTCAATCAAGGGGAGAGCCAGATTCACTTAACCACCCTGTTACTAATTTAACAACTGCAGTGGTTCACTTAGTGACTGTGGCAAGAAAGGTCACAAAACGGGCGAAACTCAACTTAACAAATGCCTCGCTTAGCCATGGAAATTCTGGGCTCAACGGTGGTCGTAAGTAGAGGACTACCTGTACAGAGGACCCAATTGGCCCAATCCCAACAAATCCGGAGTCCTGAGTTTTCAGGAAAGAAAACCTGAGTTTTTAGCCCTTCTAAAAAAGGGTCAGTTATTCACCCCCAGTCGGTGCGGCGAGAGCAGCTTTTTGACTTGCTCTGGCTGGACGTCCAGAAGCTCCCAAACGCCCCTCGTGGCCGAGAGCCTGTCCAGAAGTGGGGTGCGATGGCTGGGGTTTCCAAACCCCGCCGTCTTCTCTGACCTACAAAAGAGAAAACGCAAAGAAAAGAAGCCGAAGGCAGGCCGGTTGGCTTTTTGCTGCCAAAATAACTCCGGTCTCATATGCTACTTTTAATATAATATACTAGAGGATGGAATAAATAAATTTTGATCATAGGTGGGATTTGCACAAGGTCCCACTCCGAGTCCCAGCATGGGTTGATTTTATTAAATCAGCCCAGCTTCTGCCATTGTTAAAGCAGAGTTGACGGCTCGGCTTGTGGTGTGAACCGGCCAATGGTTAATTTATTCAACCCAAACAGTGTAACAGAATAAAAGAGTCGGAAGGGACCTTGGAGGTCTACTAGTCCAGCCCTCTGCTCAGGCAGGAAACCCTATCCCATTTCAGACAAATGGTTGTCCAATCTCTTCTTGAAAACCTTGGTTTTATTATTTTCATTTCTAAAAAATATTTTTATTTCTTTTCTATTGTGTTTTTATTTCCTGTAAGCTGCCGTGAGCGAGTATGAGGCAATATAAATTTTCCAAATAAAAGAGTCGGAAGGGACCTTGGAGGTCTACTAGTCCAACCCCCTGCTCAGGCAGGAAACCCTATCCCATTTCAGACAAATGGTTGTCCAATCTCTTCTTGAAAACCTTGGTCTTATTATTTTCATTTCTAAAAAATATTTTTATTTCTTTTCTATTGTGTTTTTATTTCCTGTAAGCTGCCGTGAGTGAGTATGAGGCAATATAAATTTTCCAAATAAATAAATAAATTCAACGCAGCAGAGGAAGGCAACCCAATATATGTCATCTGGCTTTTTCCTGGGATAGGCAAGTGTCTTAAAAGAAGCTGTCAGCAGAACTGCCTGGCTGTCCAATGGGTGGTAGCCCCACCTCCTATGGAGAGTCCAGCCAAAATTTATTCCTGAACTGAGATTAGAGCAGCTTTTTAGCCGGAAACTACACCAGGTCGAACGTGGCAGGTTTAGAAGTGACACAAGACTGTCCTTGGATGTCCTACCCCGTTTCTCAACATTGGCATTGTACGGACTTCAACTCCCAGCATTCCCCTTTCTCCTTCCAGGAATTCTAGGAGTTGAAGTCCACACATCTTCAAAGTTGTTGAGGTTGAGAAACACCGGACTACAAGCTCTCCACATAACCTACTGGGCAGACAGGCATGCCTCTTTCTTGACCCAGACGTGCACACAGACCCTCTCCTTACCGAGAGCCTGCTCCCATGTGCTCTTTGCTGGCGTCAACCATGATCTCCATCATTGCTCATTCCCACGAGACTCCGGTTAATCAGCAAGTCCTCTTCTCCCGATCCAACTTTCCAGGCTGTTTTTCTTTTGAGGGCTGGTCTCGGAATGTTCTCCTGGAGAAGCAGAAGACATCAGAGAGATGAATTTGGGCCCCGGGTTTCCACAGGTGGGGAAAAGATAGCAGCGGTGAAAGACATGTCCATGACCCAGGTCGACTAAACAATGACCTGATGAAAGAGTGGCTTATTGGTGAGATGGGGGCGGCTATACGAATGGGACAAGTCAATAAATAATTTGCTCTCATAGGATGCAGTAAAACTTGCTCTCCAAAAGTCCATCTGCCATGACTAAAGAATTCTATGGATCAGTAGAGGAGAGTATTTGTAGTTCAGGGTTGAAATGAGGGGTCCTAGTCGCTCTCTGAGCTTGCAGATGTTTCATGAACCAAGCTAGGTAACATTATCAGTGTTAGAAGAAAAGGGGGGAGGAGGAGGAGGACAGTGGGGTCCTTCATGCTCTCCGAGCTTGGTGGTTTTCTTGCAGATGTTTCCTTACCCAACTAGGCCACATCAGGGGGTCTGTTACTCGTTTGGGTAATGAAATGAAAACAACCAAGTTCAGAGAGCACCAAGGACCCTTAACTCTATTTGAAACCACCAATGTATTTGTCAATACATATTAATCCCATACATTATAACGGATAATAGATGCTTCCTGGCCTCCATCCACAGGGAATTAACCCCATAAGCCCCACCCTCTTGAAAGATCCCACCGTTCGGAGAAGTAATCATACGTACACACCTACATCTAAATGAAAGATGTTCAGGGTCCAGGGAAGGTGCTTCAGGAGGACGTTTTCCCTTCCAAACGGCCTCTTCCTCTTCAATGGCTGCCTTAGTAGCCCAGAGCAGATCCGGCTGCAAGGGAGACCCGCGCCCACGTGCCTCTGTCAGCAGGCAAAATGGCGGAGAGAGTCGATGCTCAGCTCTGAAAAGAAGACAAACATCCTGCCTGCAGAAGCTCAGTGCTCAGCAAAACGCCAAACAAATTCATGCCGTTGTGCCAACAGCCATTTCTGGCCTTCCTCCCACACGTACCGCAAAGTTCTAGGTGCCTTTGAATATCTGCACCCCAAAAATGTGGTTTAAGGCCCCAGGATCTCCTCCAACAAACAAGCCGAGGCCCCCGAAAAGCTTTAGCAGCAGGCAATAAATCCAGCAAAGAGGAATGTTTTGTAGCCCAGGGTTGAAATGAGGGGGGTCCTTGGTGCTCTCTGAGCTTGGTTGCTTTCTTGCAGACGTTTCATCGCCCAAACTAGGTGGTAGCTGGTAAGGAGGGAGGTTTACTAACACTGATGATGTTACCTACTTTGGATAACGAAACCTCTGCAAGAAAACAAGCCAACTCAAAGAACGCAACAATAAATCCAGCACTCATGCCCCCGAAATAGGATTTTACCTAAAGAGATTTGGGTTGGCTTCCACGAGGCTTGTAGGGATAAGTAAATCTTTTCTCCTCAAGCCTGCCTTAACCTTCCTGTTCTGAACTGAAGCCTGTAGTTCTGCTCAAAATGTCCCCCTCAACAGTTAGAAGAAGATCTTACCTTGCGACGGGCAGGCAGAAAGGTGAAATGCCAGCTACGAAATCTCTGTGCCAGCGGCCACTCACGGATCAGCAAAAGGTGAGTGAAGAAAGGCAGGGGCTGACGCACTTTCGGCTGTGGGAGACGAAGGCAGGGATGTGGTCGACACCTCCACCAATTGCCTTCACGTGGGCTCTGGGGCCTCCGCCGTTCACTTCAAAGGCAGGCAGCTAAAGAGAAAATAAAAGTTAGAAAAACATTTGAGTAGATATGCTGGATCAGAAAAGACACCTAATTTAATCCAGGTTCCTCTTGGTTCTTCGATGACCAACCAGCTGCTTCTGCGAAGCTCACAAATGAACGCACCACATACGCTTCTCAGCAATGGCCTCCGGTACTAAGAGGTGATACGATACCATCCTGCTGAGTAGTTTTCAAGAGCCGTCTTCTTGAATTTAAGATTTGTTTTTTCTTTTTCTCAAAGCCTTCCAACAGAGCCACAGGTCTTAGATCAACAGATTCGCGATGCACCAGGAGAAAGAATTCTGGAAGAAAAGCTCACGGCTGTGTGAAGCTGAAAGGCAAGAAGGAAGATTAGTTTGGGCAGAGACTCCCTTAAGGTAAAACTGAGGCCCCCGATGGAACTGTTGAGGAGGCCGAGGCAGGTAGATGAACTTCAGAGAAGTCTTAAGTCAGTCTCAGCAACTCTGTGTGGGTAGGCTACCTGGGGATTTCTGGGAACCGAAATCCACACATCTGAAAGAGGCCGAGGTCGAGAAACGCTGAAGGCCATTAGCACAAAAGCTCAAGGAGTTAGTGATGCTTCCAAAGTGAAAAGTGCTTTAAAAAGCAATTTCCCGTTTTCTTTCTTTTTTTTCCAAATCTTTAGCCTATTCCTAGAGATCTTTAGAAACTTGTACACCTTTTAGTAACAGTTCAATAGATCTAAGGAAAGAGTTGCCCAACAACGGTCTTTGGGTTTTGTTTTTTCTTCCCCCAAAGTGGGAATGCTTTTGCAAATTTCTATTATAACCCATGTTTTTTTCAAAAAAAATAGTATGTAACATGTAAACACTGGCACATAAAACCAAGCTCTTTGTATGTGAATCCCTTACCTATGCTAGCAGCTAGATCAGGCATAGGCAACCTTGGCTCTTCAACTCCCAGAATTCCTGAGCCAGCCTGGCTCAGCTTGGAAACCTCTCCCTTTCCCCTCAGCACGGCTGGCTCAGGAATTCTGGGAGTTGAAATCCACGAGTCATAAAAGAGCCAAGGTTGCCTACCCCTGAGCTAGACCATTCAAGAGTTGCTTTTATCATAAAATACTCCTCTCGTACCTCTATCTGAAGAATATAGAAATTTCTTTAATTGTAGCAATTAAAAAAACCTTGCAATAGATGGCAGGGAGCTATCAGCTAGTGCCCAGAGCTATTTTGCTGTAACCTATGACCCCCAGAAAACTGAGGAGAAAGTTAATAGCTGCCTCTCAGTACAAAAACCAGAGAAGGATTGCATCCATGTGAAACTTTGTAAAAGCAAGTTTCACTTTGTGTCCGCTAGAGGACACTAAACTCCAACCCCTGAATTACTACCTGTTTTGCTGATTTGTGCCACAAGAACAGGTGTTAACTACACTAATGACACCCGGTCTTCTTGAAATAAATACAGGAAGGCAGAAAAAAAAACACCCCAACGTATTATCTTGTGGTATCAAGCTGATTGTATTTAATTGTCACAGATGACAGCTTCATATAAATGATGGAAACAAAAGCATCACAGAGAGTTAAAACTGCTACCCTGCATAAATCAACAGTTTAATGAAACACTTCAAACTATGCTTCTCCAAAAGTGCTTTCCTTGGTTGGAAGGAAGGAAGGAAGGAAGGAAGGAAGGAAGGAAGGAAGGAAGGAAGGAAGGAAGGAAGGAAGGAAGGAAGGAAGGAAGGAAGGAAGGAAGGAAGGAAGGAAGGAAGGAAGGAAGGAAGGAAGGAAGGAAGGAAGGAAGGAAAGAAGGAAGGCCCATAAATAAGGGCTGAACAGAAGTTATAATCAAGTCTCATTTTGTCTGTTTTTTTCTCTAAGGCAATTAGAACAAATTTCTGAAGTTAACTGGAAATTAATCAAACTCACCCTCCCAACACTAATAAAGAGAGGCTCTAAAGCAGAGGTGTCCAATCTTGGCAACTTATGGACTCCAACTCCCAGAATTCCCCAGGCAGCATGCTGCCTTGGGAATTCTGGGAATTGAAGTCCACAAGTCTTAAAGTCGCCAAGTTGGGCACCCCTATTCTAAAGAAATCTCCAAGAAATACTGCTAAATTAAAACTTCAATTCAATCATAATTTCAGCTGTTCATGGCTTCAATCGTGCCGATGAGACCTATTTTGGATTCCACATTGGCCTTGGACTCCATGACCTCCCCCCAAATTCTTTGATGCTAGATGGCCAAGGCCCTTTACTTCGTTTATTTGTTAGAATTAGATCCTGCCTTTTTTTTCCAGCAGCGAAAAGTAACCTACAGAAGAATCTTCCTTCCACTCATTCTCCCAACAGCTTAGGAGCAGTTTGGGGGTGACAAGTAACTCGGCCAAAATCATCTAGGGAATTTCCACAGCTAAAAGCAGACACCCTATCAGCTTGCCTTAAGGAAATCAAGACAAGAAGGCCCCAAGCATCCCCAGTTCGTGTCGAGGTGGGTTTTTTTTTAATTATCAAAAAGTAAGAGTTCTTCAATCTTCTCTAATCTCTTCATTCTTCTTTGTTTGCAGGTGGCTTTTCTTTCTCCAAAGATGGATTCTGTTCTTGCTTCTTGGCTGGTTGCCGATCAGCACCTGCCCCGACACCCACAGTCTGCCCTGATTTGGCCTCAATGACAGCGTGTTCATTTTTCACAAGTTCCTCCAGTTCTTTCTAAGGGGGAGAGGGGGGAGAACAGAGAAAACCACGTGAGGAAGATAACTAAGAACTAAACAGAAACTTAATTTGCTCAGAGTTGGCAAGCCACCCCTTTTCCCCCCGATAAGACCCCAGAGGGAGCCAAAGAGAACCCCATTGATTTTTACATCTGGGCTGTTCTTGAAACAGGAAAGATACCTTCCATCCCAATAGCTCTGCCAAAGCCAGGCAGCCCTCATCGCAGTCTCCGAGCCAGGCCACGTCCCTGAAAAATGAAGAATTGTGAATAACGGAACTCTAATTTATTGGTATTTATTCAGAGCTTTACATAGCATCCCAGGACAGATACATCTTTTCTTCCAGCAATCTTTACAAACACTTTGTGATCAGCTTGATCTCCCTTGCAGGATCATCTCCTTAACACACCTGGGCTATGAAGACCAAGAGTGGCCTCCCTAAAGCCACCAGGTGAGCTCAGCATATGGACCACAAAGTTGCATTAGGTACACCAAGGGAACGGAGGATGTCAGAATCAAGAGAAACACACAGCAACTATTGGCTTAAAGTTTAATTTCTGTCTCTTACCCAAGACTTTTTTTTTTTGCGCCAAAGCACTGAACACTCTGCCTTCCCCATGAGTCAATGGGTGCCTTAAGTTCTCAGCACCTGCCCAGCCACAGTGAACTTGCCTGTATGCCTTCTCCGAATCAAAATCCATCCCGCAGCCTAAGCCCATCAGGGACATGAAAGGATCACTCTGAAATGAGACCAAAAATGTAAGAATGTCCTCTAGGAGGGCTCCAAGATGGTGACAATTTTAAGATGGGGGATTAGCAGAGAACCATCATTATATAAGCTGGCTCAGGAATTCTGGGAGTTGGAAGTCCACAGGTGGTAAA